CGCTTTTACTCCAGTTCATCCAGTCCTCTGATACTGATATTCGGGTGCAGGCAGCTTCCACGTTGCATGTGAGGTTTAGGTTGCTGCAACGCGCTAGGTTGTTGCCTTTCCGGATGCCCCGCAGCTGCTCCTCTTGGGTTAATAGGGACCCAGACTTGGGGCGTTAGTCGCCTCGACTTTGGTTTCGTCCGTGCCCCCTTGAATTTCCCTGCTGTAGTTCATCCTGTTTCCCTCCTCCTCGCCCCTCTGCTCCTGGCTCCCAAACATCTGAGGGTTATGGAGTCGGGGCAGGTCTGTCTTGGTGGTTAGACTCTGGTGGCTTCAGGGACGGCCCCTTTCGAATAGGCGGCGGAGGCATTCGAGCGTGTTCCTCCTGCCAGGGTTTTCGGGTTGCGCCAGCGGACTTCCTTCTTCCCTGCTTTTCCGGTGGACTGTACCTTTTCTCCAGAGGCAAAGGGTTTGGAGGACGACTCTGCCCCGGGTCCTGACATGGAGGATCCTGGGGGTTGGGGATGAGATGACTTGGGGGGTTTGGGTACCATTTGACCCACCTTGGGTGTTGGTACCCACGGCATGGGGCTTGTTGTTACAGAGGGGAAGGGGTTTTCCTATCCCCCCTCCCTGTACTAGTTTGATATGGGTTCTGCTCCTCTCCGGGTTCCCTTGGGTTCCTCGATTCCCTCCTTCTGGAGGTTTTCGGCTTTCCCGCATCCCGTCGAGGGAAGTGCGGGAGGCTCTTGTGGCTTACCACCTGCGAGACCCGGATTATGCCTCAATAATGGGCCCTTCTTCTTCTGTGTTTGGCTCCTCTTTTCCTTACCAGGTGCGTTACAATATGCCGGAGTCTTCCTGGCTGGCAGACTGCCCTTTCTTTTCATTGGGGGCGTGGCATGCATTCTGTCGGACGCGCATGCTTGACTGGTGGGAGTTGACTATAATCGTTCAGGTTTACCTGGGGAAGGGGGGTGAGTTGGAGCACTTCAATGCGTGCTTGTTCGCCTGTGCTTCCTCATGATGTGGGCCAGGTGCATCTTCATGTGCAAGTTCCCTCCCTTTCGGCATCCCTGGTAACTGAGGAGTTGCGTGCCTGTGGGCATTTGGCTTTGTTCTTGCTCTTCTTTTCCCCTGCTCGAGCTGTCTTCAAACTGGCTTGAGGAGGATATAGAGGTTATCTTGAGATTATCTTGAGATGATTTTGGGGCTTTAGTGTCCCCGCGGCCCGGTCCTCGACCAGGCCTCCACCCCCAGGAAGCAGCCTGTGACAGCTGACTAACACCCAGGTACCTATTTTACTGCTAGGTAACAGGGGCATAGGGTGGAAGAAACTGCCCATTGTTTCTCGCCGGCGCCCGGGATCGAACCCAGGACCACAGGATCACAAGTCCAGCGTGCTGTCCGCTCAACTGACCGGCTCCCCTGACGAACTCTTTACCCAGAACCCAGAGGAGCTGGGTTCCGGGCCAGTGTCCGATGCGCTTCCCTCGGTGGCTTGGGCGTCGGCTGCCTTGAAGTTGTTTGTGGCAATTCTGAAGGAAGCGGTGTCTGTTCTTTGCTTCTTGCTTCGCGTGCTGACAGGCGGTGCTCGTCCACTCTTTGGAATCTGCTTGGGCCCTGGCCCTTCGATTTTCATCACTCTTTTTGTCTGCTGCTGCTTGCAGAGTCTGTGGTGGTGCATTTTCTGCCTGCAGCTTCGTCTAGTTGCTGGCCTGTGTTGGACTTGGTGGTTCTCTGGGGGGGGGGGGCTGTGGGGGTTCTGCCCGGAAGGGTCATGCCAGAGCTCAGGGTTTCTTTGGTTGTTGTAATCCAGTAGTGCCAGATTTGGGGCCGGCCCCTCCTGCAGAGCTGTCGGTGTCTGGTCGGTGCAGTGCTTGCTCTGAGTATCGGTCGGGCTCTTGAAAGGGTCGTCGGCCCTTTCGCAAATCGATGGGATGGGGGGGGGGAAGGAGGCTCGCGCTGTTTGCTAACACCTGGTCCCAAGATTTGTGGGCGTTTCTGGTCATTTCCTTGAGCCTGCTCTGATGTTGGGTGGCTCCTCCTTCAGGGGGTTCAGGGCTGGCAGGGCAGGCCTTTTTCCCTGCGCTCTGTTGGATCATCCTGGAGTGGGTACGCTTAGGCGTGGTCGAAACAACGGCATCCCTCAGGTGGGTTTGGGTTTCAAGCCTGTTTCCTGTTCCGAAATGGACTGTTTCCGAAATGGACGGAAAAGATCTGAGGTTCATTCTGGACTTGTCCCATCTGAACTCCTGGGTCTTTTGCCCCTCCTTTCAGATGACCACTGTCCCAGGTTCGGCTGCTTTTGGAACCGGGCGCTTGGATGTTGTCCCTGGACCTCCATGTATTGGCACGTCCTGATTCATCTGGGTTTCAGGGCCTTGCTCAGTTTTGTCGTGTGGCGGCAGACTTACAGCTTTCATTGCCTTCCATTCAGTTTGAATCTGGCTCCTCGCTTTTTAACATGCCTTACCTGGGTCGTGGTGACCCGTTTGCATCTGTTAAAGGTTTGAGTTGTGGCTTACCTCGACGACTGGCTGGTCTGGGCTTACAGCCGGTCTGCGTGTCTGCTCACGAGGGATTTGGTTCTTTCCCAGCTCGCCGGGTTCGGGTTCTTGGTGAACTGGAGGAAGTCCCATCTGGTTCCCTCACAGGTTCGGACTTGGCTGGGTCTTGCGTGGGTCTCTTGGACCGCTTCCTTGTTTCTCCCTCCAGCGGCGTTGCTACGGCTGCAGTCAGCTGTTTTAGGAGGGCACCTGAGTCATGCATTGGTTGTTCGAGCAGCTGTGTGGGAGTCTGAACTTCGTCATGCTGGTCTACTTATTGGGTCGAATCTGGCTTTGGCAGTTGTTCTGGAGTTCACGGCGGTGTGGTTTTTGCTTCGGAGGGTTTGTGTTGCCCGCAAATCGATGATTCGGCTTCATTCGGGTTGCTCCCTGGTAGTTCATTGCCTGAACCGAGGGGGTTAGATGTGGTCCTTGGCTCTTTGGGGCTGGTCGCTTCAGGTGACTCGTCTGCTGAGTTCTCGGGGTTTGGCTCTCCTGGCGGTTCATATCCAGGGGGTTTCCAATGGCCTGTCCCGTTTCATTTCCCTGTCCACGGAATGGACGGTCGATGCCGACTCATTCTGTTGGCTGTGCCGGATGTTCGGGCGCCCAGAGGTGGACCTCTTCACGTCGGCCTGGTTGAGGCGTCTTCTGGTATATGTGGCACCCTTCCCCAACTGCTAGGCCGTCATGTTCAATGCCTTTCAGCTGAACTGGACAAGGTGTGGTTACCTGGACCTCTTCCCCCCGGTTCGGTTGTTGCTCCAGGTCCTGGCTCGCTTGGAGACTTACCGGGAAGAGTAGTACTGTTGATCCCTTGGAGGCCAGCCCAGCCTTGGTTTCAGGCGCTGCTTGTTCGGTATCTGAACCTGAGGGTCTTCCCGCTGCTCCTCCTGTTTCAGGGGTTCCGGTAAGGTCTGGTACGTGTCTGGTTCGATCTTCTCCTCCGCTCTTCGAGTCTGGTCTATTTGACACGGGTTTATCAATACTTGTATGGTAATCAGGTGGCTTTATTGATGGTGTCCCACCTGCAAGTTTCATCTCGGCGGCAGTATGAAGTTTCCTGGCAGTCCTTTCGGCACTTTTTGTTTCTAAGTAGGTAGTCTTTGATGTCTGATTGGGTTGTTTTGTCCTCTCTCTCTTGGTTGTTTCAGGACCGTCATCTTATGCCAAATACTGTTATCTCGTATCGTGCAGAGTTGCTTCAGTTTGTGTTCGGGGGTGGATGTCACTTCTGCTCCATTCTGCAAGCTTTCTCGGGTGTTGTTTCGCTCATGCGCTGCTTGAGATGTCCTGGTCATTGGACCGGGTGCTCTCTTTTTTGTATCTTCTCCTCGGTTATTGGTGGCCCCTTCGGTTCCGGACTGTTTTTCTAAGGCCCTTTTTTTGTTGGCATTGGCCTCTGGGGGGCGGATTGGGAAGCTTCATGCTCTCCCCCGGCACAGGGGTTTCTGCTCTTTCAGTCCTGGTGGTCGTTTTGTACATTTGCAGCTGTCTCCTTGTTATCTGGTGAAGAATGAGACTGCTGCTTTCTGGAGGGGTCCTTGGGTTGTTGATGCTTGGGGCGGCCGAGGGTACATTATGTTTTGTGTCCAGTTGCAGCTCTTTGCCGTTACTTTCGCACCACGGCTGCCTTGGCACGGGGGACATGCTTTGGGTTGACCCAGTTTCTTTTCTCTATTTCAGGGCGTGGGGTTTCCCAGGTTGTCCACAGGATTATTCGGTCCAGCCAGCCCACGGTTTATCCCTGTGCCCATGATGTTCATAAGTTTGCTGCTTTGGCTGCTGTTTTTAGTAATATGTCCTGGGCTGACATTTGGGCACAGGGCTTTTGGAGGTTGAACAGGGTCCTGGCCACACAGTACCTCATTAATATTCCTGGCCCTTCTCGGGCATGTGTAACATTGGGTCACAGGTTGCAGCCAGTTGTCTTGATTTTGAGTTGAGGAGCGAGTGACGGTTGCCTCCCGGTTAAGTCCCTCTTTTACTTTATCTTTAGTTAGGTAGCTCTGGGGAGCCAAAGGGGCTCTCCACAGAAAACCAGCATTGAATGTAATGAAACACCATTTTCTGGGTGAGACCCAGAGGCTCCCCGGCATTCCTCCCTTTCTCCTTCCAGTCGGCATTTTTTCGCATTTTTGATATTCAGCCACTGAACTGGGGTTGGATGGCCATTAAGGAGGTCTGGAGCTCCCGTTCCACCTCCCAGGGAGGGGGGAGCTGCTCAGACAGCAGGGCCGTGAGGTCATGCTTGTTTGCTTGTTTCCTGTTTGGGGTGTTCTACTCGCTTGTTCGGCTTTCAGTTTGCAATTTTTAACCAGCTGTAGTTTGTTTTGGGATTCCTACCTTTTTGGGTGCCTTCCCTATACAATATTGCTCTTCTACTTCTGTATAGATCCTTTCTTACCCCTGTGATAGTGGGAAATATATTACAGTAATGATTATGCTTTTGTATTTTTCCAGAATTGTGATGCATTAGTTAAGAATGAGGCGCAGCGGCCCTGGAGGGGGCGGGGGAGCAGGGGGATTTAGTAAGCCTCCACCTGCTCCCCTTACACATGGAGGGTCTAGTCGGGTGCGACTGCACACTCCCGAGGTCAATGGCTCTCTTGGCAAAGATAGATTTGGGTATGTTGGTGAATTAAAACATTTACAATAACTAAATTTTTATGACAATTTATTTAATCATATTTTACAATATATTATGTACTCCTAAATGTTTTTAGGGATAATAAAGTTTTCTGTGGAGAGCCCTGTTGGCTTCCCGAAGCTATCCATACTGATATAAATGGTAAATAATCACCTAGGCACGTGCAGCTCCAGTACACAGGAACTCCTGGCCAGCACACACCACAAGTCCAGAAACAGCCTCACAAGGCAAAAACTCGGAACAGGAAACTGGCCAGAGGCGACATCCGACTGCCAAGCACATAAGTCAAAAAGTAGATGGTAGGTGGCCTGGCTCACCTGGGTAGGCTCTCCTTTCTCCTGTTGGGGGGATGGTGCTAACGAGCAGGGGGGGGGGAGTAGTTGGATGAATTGTTGCTTGATTGTTTTCTTTCTGGGGAAGTTCTTTTGCTCTTTTGAGGATGTAGGTCATAATTTTCAACTAAACAGTGGTCTGTTTTGTTTTGCTTACATTTCTGGGTGCCTTCCCTGGTCGATGGCAAGTATGATACACTTCAAATGTGAAGTGTTCATAGGCCATTGCTCCCTGTGCCTCTCTGAGGAGGCCAGGTTCATGGCTCTGGTCCCAGATAGGCAACAAGAACTCTGACTGATGATCCCAAATAATATAGTACTATATCAGTATGAATAGCTTCAGGGAGCCTCTGGGGCTCACCCAGAAACTGGTGTTACATTACTTTCAATGCTGTTTTCTGTAGGGAACCTCTATGGCTCTCTGGAGCTATCGGACTGATGTGTGACTAGTAGTCTGGGGCATTAGTCAATGGAGTTCAGCCTACTGGGGATCACGAGTCAGAAGCTGGCCCCCCTCAGAGAGGCACAGGGAGCAATGACTTCTGGAAACCCCCCCCCCCCTGTGGTTGGGGGTGTTTCTTATCTGCCATCGACTGGAGTTAGACACCCAGAAAGGTAGGCATAACAAAACAATCCTACTTGGTAAGAAAATTGCCTCCAAAGACTGAACAGGAAGGCAGAACTCCCCCCAACTCTCAAGGAAACAAGCAAACAAGCAATTAGGGGGGAGCTCCAGACCCCTGTGCCAGCTGCTCCAACTCCTAGTTCATTGGCTGATGCGATCTGGGGCAGTTGTCAACTCTGGCCTCGATTTCCTTGGCAGTGCTTTGCCTTAGTGGTGTGCTCTGCCATTTTGTGGTGTGGTGGCCAGGTGTAACATCAGTGTACTGGGGCTGCATGAGCTTAGGGCTACCTTCCCTAAGCACCCTGTAAGTACTACCACTGGGTGCTAGGGTTTTCTTCCATAGTGCCTTCGGGACTCCACTTCCGTTGGGGTTCTTGGTGCTCGGCATTTACCTCTCCCTAGGGGCCAGCTGGGGTTTTGTGGCCTTTGTTTGGGCTTGGGTAGGAAGTGGTATTTTTGCTTGTTGGGGCACAAGGTGTTGTGCAGCTCGCCTTCCAATGTAGTGGCTGTGTTCCTGTTTCCTCTGGGGACGTTGTACTTTTGCAGGATTTTTCTTTTATTTTTGTTTTCTTGCCTCGAGGGGGTCTGCCTTGTTTGGCTGTTGGTCCACTTATCATACTGTATTTTGGTGGCCCTCCTCTAGGCCCTTGTGATTATACATGTTGCAGAGGTTTCAGTGTTTTAGCTCATCCCCCTTTGTTAGCTCTTGGGTTTAACCAAATTTGCAACACCTTGCCTGGGCTTTCCATAGCAGTCAGCCTACGGGCACTGGAAGGCCCTGTCGGGGTTCGGTGGACCGATTGATGCATTTTCTGAGTTCCAGCTTGCTTCATGCGAGTTTAAAGGGTGTCCCTGGACCTCCGGGATGCGTATTGGCACGTTCCCGTAGTTCCCATTCATCAGGAGTTCAGGGACTGGTTAGGTTTTGTGGTAGGGTGGCAGGCTTGCCACTTTCATTGCCTTCCTTTTGGCTTGAATCTGGCACCTCTGCGTATTCACGCATCTTACCTGGGTCGTGGTGACCCGTCTGCATCTGCTTGGGGGTTCGAGTTTTGGCCTACCTCGATGACTGTCTGGTGTATTCTCCCGGCTGGTCTGCTTGTCTGTTCACCAGGGGTGTGGTTCTTTCCCAGCTCTCTGTGTTCGGAATCCTGGTGAACTGGAGGAAGTCCCATCTGGTTCCGTCCCAGGTTCAGACCTGGCTGGGCCTCGTGTGGGACTCTTGGACCGCTTCCATCTCTTCCCCACGGGAGGCATTGCTGCGGCTGCGGTCATGCCTTTAGCTGTTGCTGGGGAGATCCCAGGTTGCTCGGCAGTTGCTCGAGCAATTGTGAGGGAGTTTGAACTTTGAACTTTGGTTTTCTCGCTGGGTTGGGTTTGGCTTCAGTGTCTGTTCTGGTTCCTTCGGAAACGCCTCTTTTGCCTGTTTCTTGATCGCTGGGTTTGGCCTCCGTGTGCCTTGCGTTGGCTGCTGCGTCACCAACCTTCTCTTCAAGTTTTTTGGAGTGCAGTGCCTTGGCGCCTACCCAAGCCCTCGCTCAATATGTTCACGGATGTGTCGTCTCTCAGCTAGGGCTTTGTGACCAGTGCTCACCAAGGCGGCCATGGGCGGTGGGGGTCTGTCCTTCCATCGGTCTCACAGCACGGTGCGGGTGTTTGCTGCGAACATCAACGAAATTTGACATTCATAAATTTGCTGCTTTGGTTGCCATCTTCGGTAACATGTCTTGGGCTGACATTGGGGCGCGGGGGATTTTGGTGGTCGAACAGGGTCCTGGCCACCCATTATTTGGTGAACATTCCTGGTCCTGGTCATTCATGTGTGGCTTTGGGTCGCAGGTTGCAGCCAGTTGTCTCAACTTCAAGTTGATGAGCACATAGCGGCCGCCTCCCTAGTAAGTACCTTTTTTACTTATCCTTGGTTATGTAGAGCCAGGGAGCGGTAGGGGCTTCCTACAGAAAACTACCGTTGAATGTAATGAAACTGCATTTTCTGGGTGAGCCCCAGAGGCTCCCTGGCACCCTCCCTCCCTCCTGTCGGCAGTTTCGTTTTGATTTTGATGCTCAGCCTCTGAACTAGGGGTTGGAGCAGCTGGCACCGGGGTCCGGGGCTCCCCCTCCCAGGGGGATGGGACTGCACGGATGAGCTGTGCGGCGGCGTGTCGTGGCGTGGCGGCGGCACACAAAATGAGGTAAATGGGTATAACTGGTAAAGTAGGGTGCTGGATACTCAATTTCCTGTCGAACAAAACACAAAGAGTAACAGTCAATCAAGTAAAATGGAGTCCGAGCGCAGTTATAAGCTCTGTACCTCAAGTTACAGTCCTTGCACCACTGCTGTTCCTTATTCTCATATCTGATATAGACAAAAATGCAAGTCACAGCTTCGTGTCATCCTTTGCAGAAGATACAAAAATCAACATGAAAATTATCTCTGCTGAAGACATTGAAAAACTACAAACAGACATTAACAAAGTTTTTGATTGGGCAGCAGAAAATAACATGATGATTAACGGTGATAAATTCCAGGTACTCAGATACGGTAAAAATGAGGATCTGAAACATAATACAGGGTACAAAACACAATCGAATCTGCTCATAGTAGGAAAACAGCATGTCAATGATTTGGGAATAATGATGTCCGACGACCTAACGTTTAGGGAGCATAACCAAGCAAGTATTGCGTCAACCAGAAAAATGATAGGATGGATTACGAGAACCTTCAAGTTCAGAGATCCCATCACAATGGTTGTACTCTTCAAATCACTTGTTCTGTCCCGTCTTGAGTACTGCTCAGTATTCACTTCCCCCTTCAGAGTAGGAGAGATTGCTGAAATAGAGGGAATACAGAGAACATATACGGCATGCATAGACGAGATAAAACACCAAAATTATTGGGATTGTCTCAAAGCTCTCCAAATGTACTCACTAGAAAGGAGACGAGAGGGATACCAAATAATATACACAAGGAAAATACTGGAGGGACAGGTCCCAAATCTGCACAGTAAAATAACAACGTACTGGAGTGAATGATATGAAAGAAAATGCAGAATAGAACCAGTAAAGAGCAGAGGTGCCATAGGCACAGAGAACACTGTTATAAACATCAGAGGTCCGCGGTTGTTCAGGGTCCTACCAGCGAGCATCAGAAATATTGCCGGAACAACCATGGACATCTTCAAGAGAAAACTAGATAGTTTTCTTCAAGTGCCGGACCAACTGGGCTGTGATGGGTATGTGGGCCTGCGGGCTGCTCTAAGCAACAGCCTGGTGGACCAAACTCTCACAAGTCAAGCCTGGCCTTGGGCCAGACTTGGGGAGTAGAAGAACTCCCAGAACCCCATCAAGTAGGTATCAAGCAGATACGTAGATCAGCCTCATCTCCTCCCATACCCTCACGCAGCTCCAGCACCAGACAGCGTAGCCATATGTTTGGTGTTCGTGGTGGTGTTGGCCGTAGTGTTGGCGCCAAAACCAAACCCCTGGGTGTACTTGGGTGGGAGGATTGTGCCTCATTTGTTCCACAAATACCAACATTTGATGGTACTGATGATGGTGTGATGACACCATTATTCCCGTATACAGGTCAGGATGTGGCAGAAATAATTATTTCCTAGTGTATTTTGACAACAAATTTATAACCCATCTTGTGACTGAGACAAACAGATATGCTCACAGCCTCATGGACGCCGGCATTTTACCTGCCTCACGCCTCACATGATAGAAGGACACCAGAATTGACAAAATGTATGTGTTTCTCACACTGAGCATGATGATGAAGCCCTTTGAGAAACACGTCATCCAGGATTATTGGAGCAAGGACAGCCTTGTTCCATCACCCATGTTCAACAGGTACATGTCGCTTGATAGGTTCCTGTTGCTTCTCAGGTGCCTGCATTTCGAAAATAATGCAAATGAGGACAGACACAACAGACTGTGGAAAGTACAGAAGGTATTCAGTGACATGAGCGGCAAGTTCCGTGATTATTTTGTACCTGCACAGAATGTAGTGATCAATGAATCGCTTATACTGTTCAAGGGGCGACTGGCATTCAAGCAGTACATCCCATCAAAGTGCCATCGAGTTGAACTCAAGCTTTTCGTACTGTGCAATTGTGAGACTGGTATCGTCATGGACATGATTCTGTAATCTGGTACAGACGTCGATATACCAGCTCAAGATGAACACGGGTTCTCCAGCAGTGTCGTCAAAACCCTGATGAAACCGTTGCTGAACAAGGGGCATATGCTGTTCACCGACACTTACTATACCAGCGCCTTGTTGACCAGATACCTCCTTGCCTACAACACCGACGTATGTGGCACCGTGAAGACCCACAGGAAGGAAATGGCAGTGTTTGGCATAGGTATAGCAGTGGGTGATTGACAGCTGTGCAAGTGTGACAATATGCTCTCAGTGCAGTAGAGGGACAGACGCGAGGTGAATATGCTGACTACGATTCACACCGATGCCATGTTGGACAATGGCAAAGTCCACTTTCAAACGTGCTTCCCCATATATAAACCAGATTGTGTCATAGACTACAACGTGAACATGCCCCTCGTAGATAAATGTGACATGATGCTCAGTGCTGTCGAGTGCATGCGGAAGTCTGTGAAGTGGACAAAAAAGTTCTTTTTCCACCTAATAGATGTTGCAGTGCTCAACTGCTTCAATATGTATCTGGTAAAATCAGGCAGGAGACCGCCAATACAGACATTCAGTGCTGCTGTTGTGTCACAACTGCTCGTAAAGTATGGCAAGGAGGGCTCTGTTACACCGCACGGGGGTGCAAGCAACAATGCCACATGCAGCTCCAGACAGACAGAGTGGTAACGAGATGTTTGGTGTCCACATGCTAGAGTATATGCCAGGCACAGCATCACGGGATAAGGGTAAACATGCCTGCATAGTATGCAAAAACACTACCCGAAGAGAAAAATAGCGAAGTGCATCAGCACCTGGTGCGTTGAGTGCAAGGTTCCACTATGCCCCATTGGCGGTTTCGCAGCATATCACACACTCCTGGAGTTCTGAGTGTGTTTATGGTGTGTGATACTGTACAGTGTGTAAATAGATTGTATATGTACAAAAATTAGCATGATTCATTGGAAAAATGTGCAAGATATGTGTACACATGTGTGATGCATGTAACACAGTGTCTTCTGACAGTACAGATGTTCTATTGCCATAATATAGTGTACATGTTCATTATACATAGGATTGGCACAAAACTAAACAAATGTATTTGGAACTGTGCAAAAAATGAACAAAAATATATTTGTGGCAACTCGCGCATCTTGAACCGGGCGCGCTACTGGCCCCGGGAGCGTACGCCGTGGGCGACCAGAGATTCATGACGTTATGTGCAAAGTTATGGGCCCCATTGCGGCCAAAGTATGTAAGTATAATTTTGAGTTTTTGTTCACATATCCATAATCAGGGATATGAATCAGGATAATCAGGGTTTTTAACACTTAAAAAAAAAAATCCCAAGAATTTATTTCATGTGCACAGGGGGGGGGGGGGGAGGTGCCGTATTTGGAAGGCGAGCAGCACAATGGTTAAAGAAAAGATCAAACACAAATTACATTTCAGTTAGTATTCTGTTGTACTGTACATACAATACTTTGTTTATTAGAACATAATTTTATTTACTTTGAGCAGGTCACCACGAGAAAGGTCTCCAAGCCTTGTAAGCAGTTTGCCTCTGTCACCTTCTCACCCAAGCAGTAGAGAAAAGTCCCCAAACCCTGCCTCCCAGGACCTGCATGACTGCTCCATGTGTCTTTCAGCCTATATTCAGGTTAGTTTTTGAATAATTCTTCTAACTAGAAACAGTTAATCTATACTTAAGCTAATGCTTTCTCTCCTTTTTCCTATTGTTCTACGAGGTTAAAAATATGGGTGTGAAGTGAAAACATGCTCATTACACTACAGTGGAACCTCGAGTGACGAGTGGCTCCAGTTATGAGCAAGCCACTCGCAGAAAATGTCTCGATTGACGAGCTTTCTCTCGATTAACGAGCATTCCTGCTGGTTCTTGGCCACCTCCGACGACAGTTTTGTTGTTGTTTTGCAAGATGAGTTTTCCACATGACAAGTTCGGTGCTGGAACGGATTAAATTCGTTAATCAAGGCGCCACTGTATATCATTTTGTCTTTTGTTCAGCTTAGGACTAACCTTGTATGTGATGTATGTGATGCAACAGGAGTTCTTCCACTTGATTTCTGTTCAGGATCATAAGACAGCCTCATCCTGTTGACCTGTTGCTTTGTGACAAGTAGCCCCCACCAAAATTTACATTTTTCCAATCCAGTCCCCTCACCATCCATCCATCCAGTCCCCTCGCCATCTATCCATCCAGTCCCCTCACCGTCCATCCATCCATCCAGTCCCCTCACCATCCATCCATCCAGTCCTCCCAACCATCCATCCTGTTGTCCTCCCAAATACAATATTCAAGAGTGATTATCACTTGGCGGGAAACACTGCTAAACTGAAGGGCACTTTGCCTGTGCCACCAGGAACCACCAAGTCGAATTTTACGAAGAAATTGAGCTCGTAAACCAAAAAATTTGTAAAGAGTGGCATTCGTCAACCAAGGTTCCACTGTATCATTATTTCCGAGTTGAAACCTTGTTATTCAACAAGAGTGGTAAGGGTGCATCAGGTTAGGTCAGGATAACTTTTTTAAGGTAAGAGTATCAGTCTCTGCACACAGTTGGTTTGAAATCTCCATTTCCTGCATCGTTCAGTATAATGACAACAAAACATTACCATAGTACTGTATTTGCATACACTGCATGCCAAAATTATAGTGGTACCAGTATCTTGGTTTACGACTTTCCTAGTTTTTTCCCAATTTTTTGGGTATGCAACATCAAATTCATCATAAAATTTGAATTGGTGTACGACGTTTGCCTTTGAATACAAAGTCTGTTGATACTTGTATGGGTTGAGCAAGCGTGTGGTGCTGGGCGCAAGGCAAGGCACTTTTGGTTGTTTACCAGTGTATCCTGCCTAGTGAAGACCACGCTTTGTAACGAATTTCATTGTTTTTCTGCTTTTCTGTGGGGAGCCCCTACCAGGGACCAGCGCCAGAACCTGGCCCCTTCGGAGAGGTTTCAGGGAGCAATAACCCTGGAAAACCCCCTTGTGGTTGGGCTTTTCCTTATCTGCCATCAACTTGGGTTAGGCACCCAGAAAGGTAGGCATAACAAAACAAACCCCACATGGTAAAAACTATAACAAAAAATCGAACAGAGAGGTAGAAACTCCCTACAGTCCCAAGGAAACACGCAAACAAGCAAACATCACACTTTACTGCGGCGCCAATTATCCGCGCAGCCCTCCCCACCCTGAGAGGGGGAGGGGGGAGCCCCGGACCTCACCGCGCCGGCTGCCTAGCATCAGTTCGTAAGCTAATGTAAACCGGGATAGACGCTTCTCTGGCCTCAGTTTCCTAGGCGGTGTTTGCCTTGTGTGACGTTCACTGCCATGTGTTGTGTTGTGCGGTGGCCAGGTGTTCCTCATCAGTACCAGGGCTGCATGCACTTAAGGGCTTCCTTCCCTAAGCGCCCTGTGAGTACTGCCCCTGCGTGACAGGGTTATCGTCCCTGGGGCGTTTGGGAACCAATCCCGTAGAGGTTCTTGCTGCTCGGCATTTGCCTCGCCCTTGGGGTCAGCTGGGGCTTGGGGGCCCTTGTTTGGCCCTGGGTAGGTATTGTGCTGGTTAGGGGCGTCAAGGTGTTGCACGACCTGCCACCCAAGCGGTGACTGGTTCCTGTTGCCTCTGGAGACGGTGTACTTTTGTGGGGGTTTTCTTTTGTTGTTATTTTCATTAGCCTGGTGGGGGTCTGCCTAGTGTGGCTATAGTTCCACTGGTAGTATTTGGTGGCCCTCTGCTAAGCCCCCATGATTGTACATGTCGCAGGGGTTTTCAGTGTTGTCCTCTACCCCCTTGTTATTTTTGGGTTTCTTAACCGGTTAGCAACATCTTGCCCGAGCTTCCAGTAGTTGTTACCCTGTGGGCCCCGGAAACCCCTGTCGGGGCTCGGTGGACCATTAAATGTGTCTTCCGGGTTCCAACCCGTCTTGTACGGGATTGTTGGTTGCTGTGCTCTTGTCTCCAGGTGACAGTCGCCACTTTTACCTCCGTCATGTTGCCTGTTGGGTCACTGACACCTTGACCCGGAGTCTTGTGAGAGATATTCTCTGCTTGTTCTCCAGTACTCTCCTGATGTTATTACTGTTCAGAGTACAGGTGGCATCCGTGTTGCAAGCTAGGTTAGGTTGCTGCAACACGCTAGGTTGGTTTCCCACTCGAATGCCCCGGGGCCGCCCCGTTTTGGTTAGGTGCTGTTCGCCTTTTTCCCTCCCTGTTCTCGGCTCCGGACCATCTGCGGGTTTCGGGGTCTGAGCGGGGTTTAGTTGGGGCCGAGACTCGGGCGGTTTCGGGGGCTGCCCCGTTTGGGTTGGGGACGGAGGTTTTCGAGCCTGTTCCTCCTGCCAAGGCTTCTGGGTCTTACCAGCAGCCCTTTCTTGCTGTCTTTCCCATGGACTCTTCCTTTTCTTTTAGGGCGGAGGGCTTGGAGGACATCTCTGCCCTAGGGCCTCTGTTGCAGGTTCCCGGGGCTGTGGGGGATGCCTGTTAGCAGTTCTGGGGCTGTTTGCCCCTGCCTAGGTTTTTTGCTTCTGGGCGGAGTTTTTCGCCCATCCAGTCTGCTTGCTTTCCACTTTTGCTGGCGTGTTTTCGTATCTTTTGCGTCGGTCACAGCCCCCTGTTCTGGTGGCCATTTTCTTCTGCCGGTTTCCCGGCGTGGCCACCAGGGCGGCATTGCGGTTTGTTTACATGCGCCTGGGTGTACGAGCGAGCGTCTTGGGTGGGTTTTTTCACCTTTTTCAGGGGCTTTATTCTCCTGTTGTCGTTTCTTTGCTTTTCTAGTGTTGTCTGCCCATTTTCTGTTCCTCTGGTAACGTTTGAGTGTTAATTTTACACCGGGTTTTCCATTTTGTCTGTTGTGGGTCTGGGCCCTAGGGTTTGGGCTCAGTGTCCCTGTCGGTTTATGCTTGCTCCCACACCTTGTCCCTCGGTTTTCGGTCTGTTTTGACCGTTTCCCTAGGGGTTCTGTCCAAGGGCTGTGCTTAGCCTTTCTGTGGTGTTCCTCATCTCTCAGCCGGCAAATGTGGTGGTTTGAGCTCCCCCTGGTTCGATTCCGGGTTCCTTTGGATTCTTTGGTTTCGTTCCGGAGGTTTCTTCCTCTTGGGGCCCCTTTGTGGGTTCAGGGGGCTTTGTGTCCTCGTGTGTGACCCGGTTCTGCCTTCTGGGGTTCTGGGGTCTTCCTGGCTTGCAGACTGATCTTTTTGGGTCTTGGCATGTGTTGTGGCCGTGCTGGGACTGCACAGTTGGTGGTGGGGCTTCAGGCTTGCCACTTTTGTTGCCTTTCCTAGTTTGTAATTGGCACTTGGTGTATTTACGCATCTTTACCGGATCTTGGTGCCCCTGTCTGAGTCTGCTTGGGATTCGGTGTCTGACCTACCACGACGACTGGCTGGTGTGGGCTCCCAGTTGGTCTGATTGTCTGCTCGCCAGGGGTGTGGTTCTTTCCAGATCGCCGGGCTTGGTTTCCTGGTGATCTGGAGACCGTTCCATCTATTTCTGTTCCGGGTTAGGACCTGGCTGGGTCTTGTTTAGGGCTCTTGGGCCGCCCCTTGTCCTTCCCTCCAGAAGTGTTGCTGCGACTGTGGTTCCGCCTTCGGCTGTTCATGAAGGGGTCCCGGGTTGCTCGGCGGTTGCTTGAACAGTTATGCGGGAGTCTGAACTTCAACGTGCTGGTCTGTCCACAGGGTCGGGTTTGGCTTCAGTGTCTGTTTGGTTCCTTCGGAGACTCCCCTTCCGCCTCTCTTGCAATCGTTGAGTTGTTCCTCCGGGATCTTGTGTTGGTGCTGCGTCACTAGCTTCCTCTTTGGGGTCTTCGGGGTTCCGTGCCTTGGCACCTCCCCGAGCCTTCGCTCGATGTGTTCATGGACGGGTCATCTCTCGGCTGGGGCTTTGTGACCAGTGCTCACCAGGTCTGCCGGGGATGGTTGGGTCTGTCCGTCCGTCGGGCTCACAGCACGGTTCGGGAGTTCGTGGCTGTATGGTTTGCACTTCGGAGGGTTCGGGTCACTTGGTGCTCTACCATTCAGCTGCATTCTGACTGTTCTCTGGTTCTTTGTCAGAACCACAGGGTTTCTCTTAGGTGTTTGCCTTTAGGGTTGGTCCCTTTTGAGTGGCTCGTTTGCTGGATTCTCGGGGTTTGGCTAACCGTGAGGTTCATGTCTGGGGTGTGTCCTATGTCCCGGCGGACAGCCTGTCTCGGTTCATTCCTCTGTTCGCAGATTGGCCAGTCAGCGCCGACTCGTTTCGTTGGCTCTGCCGGACGTATGGACTCCTGGCCATGGACGTCTTCGAATCGGCGTGGTCTAGGCGTTGCCCATTCTATGTGGCGCCCTTACCCGCCTACGAGACGTTAACGGTGGATGCCTTTCGGCAGGACTGGTCGAGGTGGGGGGTACCTGTTCCTCTTCTCCCGGTCCAGCTGTTGCTTCAGGTTCTAGCTCGGTTGGAGCCGATTCCCAACAGAGTAGTCCTTATGGTCCCTTGGTGGCCGGCCCAGCTATATTTTCAGACGATGCTTGATAGGTGTCCGAACCCAGGGCGTTTTTCTGCGGCTCCGCTCTTTCGGCAGGTCAGACCGGTCTTGTACGTGACTGGTCCGGCCTTCTCCTCGGGTATTCGCGTCTGGTATTTTAATGCAGGTATCACCATCTCTGTGGTGATCAGGTGGCTTTGTTGATGGTGTCCTACCTGCGAGCTTCGTCTCGGCGACAGTATGATGTTCCTGGTGTTTCTATGCACCTTTTTCTTGCTCTTCATAGGTCGTCTTCTCTTTCACATCGGGTTGTCTCGTCCTTTCTTGGGTTTTCAGGACTACAGTTATTTGATGTTTCTTACTGTCGCTTTGTTTTGTGCGGCGCTGGCGGAGCCGCTCCTGCTTGCGTTCGGGGTGGACGTCACATCTGCCCCGTTGCGTATGCTTTTTTGTGTTTTGTTTCACCTCCGGCCTGCTCATGTGTCGCCTGAGCCGTCCTTATCTTTTCCTCTGTTTGTGGTAACCCCTTCGGTTCAGGTTTCTGCTCCTTGGTACTGGTGGTAGGTTTGTACGTTTGCAGCCTTTTTTCGTTCTTTTGGCGACGGTCGAGATGGCTGGTTACCGGGGGGTCCTTGGGTTATTGATGCTTTATTGGTTCGAACGGGTGTGAGTCCTGTGTTGTTCGGTTGCGCTTCTTTGCTGTTACCTGTGTACCGTGTCTGGGGATGCGCTTTGGGCTGATCCGGTTCCCCTCGTTCCCTGTTTCAGGGCTTGGGTCTCCCAGGTCATCCTCAGAGTTTTTAGGTCGTCCAGCCTGCGGTCTATCCTTGCGCCCGTGCTGTTCGGACGTTTGCAGCTTTCACTGCTGTGTTGGTGACGTCTAGGGCTCATTTCAGGCACGAGGATTTGAAGGTCGCACAGGTTCCTGGCCGCCCGTTCTTTATGCCTGCATCTGCTCCTGTGCGTTTTTGTTGCATTGGGTCGCAGGTTGCAGCCTGTTGTCTTGGCTTCGCTTTGCGGAGTTTGTGGCGGCCGCCTCCCGGGTCAGCCCTTTCTTTTCCGTCTCTTTGGGTATGAAGCTCCAGGGAGCCGTAGGGGCTCCCCACAGAAAACCACCGTTGAATGTAATGAAATGCCATTTTCTGGGTGAGCCCCGGAGGCTCCCTGGCACCCCTCCCTCCCACTGGTCGATGGTTTTTTCGCGTTGGTTGAAGCTTAGCTTCCGAACTGATACTAGGCAGCCGGGGCAGTGAGGGGGCCTTCCCCTCTCGAGGCGGAGAGGGGTGCACGGATGATCGGCGCGGCAGTAAGTGTGATGTTTGCTTGTTTCCTTGGGATTGTAGGGAGTTTCTACCTCTCTTCATTTTTTTGTTTTAGTTTTTTACCATGTGGGGTTGGTTTTGTTATGCCTACCTTTCTGGGTGGCTAACCCCGGTCAATGGCAGATAAGGAAAACCCCAACCACAAGGGGGTTTTCCAGGGCCATTGCTCCCTGAAACCTCTCCGAAGGGGCCAGGTTCTGGCACTGGTCCCTGGTAGGTCTGAATTCCTTAGCTAATGTCCCGGTCTAATATAACGTACATTAGCCCGAAAAGCTCCAGGAAGCCTCTGGGACTCACCCAGAAAATGGCGTTTCATTACATTCAACGCTGGTTTTTTGGGTTGAGGGCTTTGGATATGGTAGGAAAGAGTAGGATAAAAAAGGTGGTGGTAAAGAACGGGTTTGTGATAGTGAGATTAAAAGGTAAGGGTGGTATGGCTGGGTTGAGTGTTTGATTGAGAAGAGCTGTAATGCTAGAGGTTAATGAGTAAGGGAGTTGAGGTGGTATTTATTGGGACAGGTAGGAAGTGTGATGTAATGTGTGAGTGCATTAGAGGCAAGTAGAGTTTGTTGCCAATCAACTTTATTTTTTTATTTTTTATTTTTTGGTAAATGCTTATACTTCACTTACAATATTCATGTTAATTAATTTTAAGTAGTATTTTGAAGCAGCTTAGTTCATTTTGTATTGTATTATTTTATGTAACAAATTATATTTTCCCAGAATGCATTGTATTTTTCCTTGATAAGATTCTTGACATTTACACTTGTTGATTCTACACTTTATCTCTGAGAATGCATGCATAATGAAAATCAGGATCCTTCTGCTTATATAAACTAACTTCTTAAAGGTTGTTATGCATTTCAGGGTACTGTACTGTATTTAAGTTTAGTCATAAGAACCATAGATAATATTTTCTCATGGGTAAATTTATTTTTCTATTATAATTAATATTTATTGATGAGACTATACAGTTGAATTATGTGTAATTTTGTTCCCAGAGTCTCAACACTGTGTGTGGAACTGCATGTCGGCTGTCTCAGTGTTTGGCACAAGTTTCTTCAGAGTCTGGATTTGTGGACTCCTATGGTAATAGCAGTCAGGGTGCTTCACAGCCTGTACGTGAAGCAGCAGATGCCTGGGAGGGAGTAGCACGTGCGGTTGGAGTAGCCAGTGCAGCAGTTAAGACACAGATGTTGATGCTGTTACAGGAGGTTCAGTCACGTCAAGATTTGTCAGAAAATATTAGGAGGCAAGAAATTAATAGAGTAAGTCTTATATTGGTTTATAGTAGTCATGTATACCTTCTCTTGAATTACAGCATAAACTGTTAAATATTTAAAATTAAACAGTTGAAAATAATTGAGAGCTTGATACTCATAAGGCCAAGTTGCCCAGTTACAGAGCAGGGACTGAAAGTGTTTGAAACAATCCATTCATGGATCTCGGGTAAAAACCACATAGCAGGTGAGACAGAAACTCCTTAATTTGGCTAAATATATGTGAACCAGTAGGGTTTTTGTCAAGATGCCAGTGGGGTCTAGCTATGCCAAATACTCCTGTTCCCAGTCCTAAACTGCTTTACATTTATCCTGATTGTGTATTATGTCAGCTGGAAGAAGGGATTTTCAGTTAAGTTTGACTTCTCTGTTGGGAGCCCCGTTGGCTCCCTGAAGCTATCTGAACTGATATGGTGCTATATTAGTTGTGGGTCATCAGTCAGAGTTCTTATGCATACTGGGGACTACGAGCCAGAACCTGGGCCCCCTCAGTGAGGTGAAGGGAGCAATGGCCTATGAACACTTTACATTTAACCCCTGGGCTGCTCTTGCAATTATAGCCTGCAACATGCCCAGGTGCAAGAAATAAAATAAAATAAAAATATACTGGTACCTCACACAACGAACACTCCAAAAGGAGAACATTTTGGGTAACGACCGGCCCGATCAGCGACAAATCGTCCCGTATGGCGAACGCTCGTTTGAGTAACGTCAACACCACATGGTGGGGTCGTGCTGCTTCTTGCACATTCTTGGATGCCTCCAATGATGCAAATAAATTATGTTGTTCTTGTTTAAAGATGCTAATGATGCTGGGATATAAAGGGGTGACTACTGAGATGTTGCAAAGCATTGACATTTTTGTAGAAAAAAAGAAATGAAATTTCTGAAATACAACAAATGTTAAAAAGGTTCGTTCGGTGTTCGGCAGGTAAGCTGCTCCATTATAACAATCTTTCTTCGTTTCAAATGTGTTCCATTTGTTTTGTATTTGTCATTTACATTTCAATAATGGAGCAGCCTACTGTACATACACTGCACAAACCTTTATGACATTTTTTCTTTCTTCAAATTTGTTCAATATTTATTTTTCATTTGTCTTATAGCAAAAGGTTCGTTTGGTGGTCGGCAGGTAGGCCACTTCATGTTTCTTACACAGAAAAAAAAAAAAAAAAAAAATGAAGAATTTTGAAAACCAGAACAATTGTCAAAAAGATTCGTTCGGTTGTCTACAGGTAGGCTGCTCCATGTTTCTTAAATAAAAAAAAAAAGAAAAAAAAAAAGTTGAAACAATTTGGAAAATGGACAAATGCCATAAAGGTTTGTTCAGTGTTTGTCGGGTAGGCTGCTTCATTATTGAGACGTAAATGAAAAATACAAAACATATGGAACACATTTGAAACAAAGAAAGATTGTTATAATGGAGCAGCCTACCTGACGATCACCGAACAAATATGCCCATGCTCAGTGCATGGGCATATTGTCAGTTTCTCTTTCAAAGTCTCCCGAGTTCGTGTTATATCCGATATATTATCTGCAGCTTGAATGTCATTCATAAAGAAGCTGTCTGGGTCATTAACTTTCATGTTGTTTATTGGTGTGCTAAACATAGCCTCATACTGCCTTCTTAGAATTTCACTAATCTCTTTGTTGTCCTCTGTGTACGTACTTTCATTTGTAATTAACAGTCCAATACTGGTCGAGGTTTTTGATTTTGCGTATGTGAAAAAATATTTTGGATTTTTCTTTATCTCTTGTATAACTTTCTGTTCCAATTCCATTTCCTCAGACTCATATGATCGCTTCAACGTTTGTTCTATTTCTTCGATGTCCCTGCTTAGGTTTATTTTTTTTTCTTCTGATAGTTGTGTCTGCCGAAGTATTTCCGTTATTATTTTCCTTCTCCTGTACAGTCGTCTGCGTTCTCTTTCTAGAGTGGTCCTCTTTCTGACCCTCCTCACAGGCACGTGCTTCAAGCAGACCTTGTAAGCTTCAGCTGTCAGTTGAGCTTCTTGAGGTTATCTTGAGATGATTTCGGGGCTTTTTAGTGTCCCCGCGACCCGGTCCTCGACCAGGCCTCCACCCCCAGGAAGCAGCCCGTGACAGCTGACTAACACCCAGGTACCTATTTTACTGCTAGGTAACAGGGGCATAGGGTGAAAGAAACTCCGCCCATTGTTTCTCGCCGGCGCCTGGGATCGAACCCAGGACCACAGGATCACAAGTCCAGCGTGCTGTCCGCTCGGCCGACCGGCGCCCCAAAGCCAGAGCTATTCCCTGTGACGGAGTTTTGTAGCTTAAGACCGCCTCCCGTTGAATGGTTGCAAGGTCTACATTTATTTTTTCCCAGTCAATCCTCTTATTGTTGAAATTGAATTGATTGAATACTCCTTCTTGCTTGTTGGGTCTCTTAGACCTACTACCATTATTTATGCTAGTTTGCACTACAATGAGCTTATGGTCTGAGATTGTAATGTCTCTGATTAGTTCATCATTGTTTGTGAATAACAAGTCTAGTGTGTTTTCGTTCCTAGTTGGTTCTGTAATCTATTGATTGAGCGAGAATTTGTCACAGAATCTCAAAAGTTCTCTGACATGTGGTTGGTTATTTCCTGGGTCATTCCCTTCTATGATATTTGTGTTTACCATTTTCCATCTTAGACTTAGTAAATTGAAATCTGCAAGGAAAATAATATCTGGTGCTGGGTTTGCTAGGTTATCAAGGATGTTCTCTATTTTGCGCATCTGCTCTTTGAATTCCTCAACCGTTGTATCTGGCGGTTTATATATACAGTGGCACCTCGACATACGATTGCCCCTACTTATGATAATTTCGAGTTACGATATAAATTTCATCGAAAAATGCGACTCAACATCCAATGGTGTTGTCGACATCCGATATGTGTTGGTACACGTTCGGGTCGGCCGAGCACATGGTTCCCGGTCACGCGGTCCGACCTGCCTCAGTTTACAACAGCTACACGCTTAGTGACGATCGCGCCTATAAGAAATTCCGCTTTTGTGGTGATTCTTTGCATTTTGAACATTAAAGTAATTATTATAAAATATGCCATGAGTGCCAGGAAAGTCAGTGGTAAGGCGCAACATATGAGATCCCATGTAAGAATGACCATAAGCAGAAACAAGAGATCATTCGTAAATATGAAGATGGTCTGCAGGTAGGTGAACTGGCTAGGCAGTACAACAAATCTCAGTCAACGATATCCACCATACTAGCTAAGAAAAAGGACATTATGGGTGCTAAAGTGATGCATCATTACAGACAAATGTTAAAATGAATTGAAAAACAAATGTCTCTTTCAAATTTGTAGTGAGACAAACAAGCACTGAACCACAACCAGGTCCTAGTGGTATTCAGGCAAAACGTAGGAGAGAGAGAGTACCCCAGAGAAAACATCACTGCCTGATGTGATAATGGAAGGGACTCCCCTTCCAAACAGTAACAACTCTCCTCCTCCCCACCTCATCACCATCTTCCATACGCCATCAAGAGCCCTCCATAAAGGTAAGAGTAACTTTGGTACTGTATTGTAGTTAGAAAAAAAATTGTATTCAGTATAAAATGTATTTTTATGTTAATATTTTAGAGGGTGGGGAACGGATTAATTCAAATCCCTTTATTTCTTATGGGAAAATTCGCTTCGACTTCCAATATTTCGACTTCCGATCCGTCTCTGGGAACGGATTAGCATCGGAAGTCGAGGCCCCATTGTATTGCCCTTATCTTTCTCCTTGTTGCTTTCGTCTTTCTCATTTGTGTTCTCGTCCGTCTTATTTTTTCTCTCTTTATTCATATTACCTCTACAATACAATATGCTCTACAATATTGCCTTCAATTTTGTGTACCTCGACACAATGTCCTTCTACATTGCTACTTTGGCTCTTTAAATTCTCAGTCCCTGGGTTGTGCTCAGAGTTCGTTGCTGTCTTTATATACTCTGCATATATTTCTGGTAGTTTTTGTGTGAATTGTAGCCTGTGTACTTCAGAAATGTTATTCATTAGTTTGCTCACCAAACCAAAACTCACCAAAACATTCCAAAACTGCTCACCAAAACAAATCACCAAGTTGGTATTGTGCAACAAAAAGCAAAGAGGAGTGACTGCCATACACCAGCCAGCCACTTGCTGCCACTCCCTCACTCAACAACACCTCACTCGCCCACATTCTCCTCCCACAATATTGTTTTTGCATTTATTCACTATACACAGACGTTATATATAAGCATTTGCATATTTTATTCACCATAACTGTACATCTAAGCTTGTATGGTGAGTAAAGGCAATAAGACGTAGCTACTCACACAGTCAGCTGGTGGCAGCCGCCCTCAAGGCCAGGCTCACTAATATTTCTCCTCCAACAATACTGTTTGTGGTGTTATTGCACTATATACACACATTATATATAAGTATCAACATGTTTTATTCACCATACCTGTACAAATAAGCTGGTATGGTGCCCAAACACCATAGTGGCCACCAGTAAACAATAAGACACGTCATGCAGACGACGCACCTCCCTCACCAAAATGGTGGCTCCCAACATACACCTGTTGCTGTTATTACACTATACACACGTTATATATAAGTCTCTACATTTGTGTTCACCATAGTGAACCACTAAGCTGGTGTAGTAATTCTAGTCAATAAAAGGTAGCCACACACAGTCAGAAGATGATGCCATCTCCCTCCCTCCCTCCCTCAATATTACTCCTCCCACTATGGAGCACAGCGCTAAATATCAACACAATCCTGCTATTATCAGAATCCTGGTCAGTTTTATCACAGTCAGGGGTCTTCTGTAATACTATCATCCTTAAATAATAGCATGATCATATATATTTTGACATTTTTAGGCGATGCTGTGGTCACAAGCCGAATAGCCGTTCTGTGAGCTCATGCTGCGTGCATCAGCCTTGGTGGGTCGCTCAGTACTAAAGCTCTCACACCCAGGAATGTTGGCCACGATTTTTTTTCTAGGAGGCGTCTGTCAACTATGCACGTCTGTGGTAGAAAATAATAATAAAAAAAAAAAAATATCGGTCGTGGCTACACTATAGCTGCCCGAATCCCACGCGGGGCATTTAAATTAAGGCGCTAGACATAAAACAGCTATTACTGTATTGCACGGTTCTGGTTTTGTTTCTCAAATCGTCTATATATGTATTGCGCGGTCTAAGGGTTAAACTAACTAAACAAAGATGCTGAAGAAATATAAGAAAATTCACTTTCGCAAACAGAGTGGTAGACGGTTGGAACAAGTTAAGTGAGAATGTGGTGGAGGCCATAACCGTCAGTAGTTTCAAAGCGTTATATGACAAAGAGTCTTGGGTAGACGGGACACCACGTGCGTAGCTCTCATCCTGTAACTACAATTAGGTAATTACACTCAGTGGAAGCGAGTGATAATCAACGAAGCAGTCCATGGTATACAGTGCGACTTCACTCTTGATGCACCAGGTACAAACAGATTTTCACTTCCTGTTTCTTTGTTCTATGTGCTTGCAAATATCGCACTCGTGTACACCCTTGGCTTTAGAACCTGTAGGTGGTATGTACCCAAACTTGTGAAGTGTAAGGTAGTTTGAAAAGTTTAAAAGAAAAGATCAATTTGTAAGGCAGTCTTGAAAAGATCGCTTTGTAAGGTATTCTGGAAGAGATTCAGCTATTCTTGAAAAGATCTATTGAAAAAAACACCATGGAAGCCGCTAATACTGTTTATCTATGCTATGTGTATCAAATGCATCATCATTGAACCCAGAAAATGATTTATCTATATATCATCTATAAAAATTGCAGATAATACAGGTGAGTATGGGTGGTGCTCAGCTACTACTGGTTAAACTCGCTGTATCGTTCTCACCGGTGCTGTATCACTTGTATCCGACCCTTGTGTTAGGTCTTTATTGTGCCTAACTTGATCAATATCATGACCCTTATGTTCTTCAAACAATAAGGTCTGAATTTCACTGACAGAGAGTGATCTTTCAACACTGGGTCGGACAGGTGTTTGGCAGCCAGAGGCACGTGCACCACCCATGGTTGATCACTCGGAACTAAGCCAGCCAGCAGCCCTAGGGCATACTGGGAATTTTTTCCAAGATGGCTGCCACTCACTGGAGGTCCCAAGAGTCCATTTCATACACAACCTACCGCGTGCGTGCTTTGAATGGGAATGAAGTTTTGAAAGTGTTTTCTCAGCTCGCACAGTTTTCATCTGACCGAGTTTTCTTGGCCGGCGCAATCCAGTGCGAGCTCTGGCGCAATCCAGTGCGAGTACCGGCGCAATCCAGTGCGAGTTCCGGCGTAATCCAGTGCGAGCTCCGGCGCAATCCAATGCAAGCTCCCAATCTGGGGTCTGCCCAGATTGTGGTGGGAGTCCTCCTCTGTTGCCCCTGAGGTTACACAGCTGCTGTTTGCAGTCAGTTTGCCTGCTTAGACAGAGTTACCAGTTTAGCTGGCCCAGTGCCTCGGCTTCCTGTAGAGCTCATTCTCCTTGCAGACCCTGGAAAACCCCAGTGGGCTCAGTTATATTATGGATACCTCTTCTGAGTCCACTCTCACCTGGTGTGAATGCGAAGGTTGCTCGTCACCCCTGCCTCAGGATGACGATCATTCTTAGTGCCTCTGCTATGCTGCCTGTTTGGCCAGGGACACCTATGACCCAGAGTCTTGCGGGACTTGTTCCTCGCTTGTGCTTCAATTCACTCATCCTACTAATATTCTGGGGGCTCAGGCTGTGGTTGTGTTGCATGAGCGTTTTTCTGTGATGCAATGGGTCAGGTTGGTTGCCCATTTGGATGCCCCGGAGCTGCCCGCATGGGCTTTAGGGACTCTGAATTGAAGGCATGATAGCATCAGTCTTGGTTCTTCTGAATTGAAGGCATGGTAGCATCAGTCTTGGTTCTTCTGAATTGAAGGCATGGTAGCATCAGTCTTGGTTCTTCTGAATTGAAGGCATGGTAGCATCAGTCTTGGTTCAGTCTATGACCCCTCTTCCTTTCCAGGTGGGTATGGTTCACTCTTCTCCTCTTCCCCTGCTTCCGGCTCCGAAACGTCAGAGGTTACAGAGTCGGGGCAGGGTTTAGCTCGAGATGAGGTTTGTGTGGCTTCGGGGGCTGCCCCTTTCGATTCAGGCGCGGAAGTGGTTGAGCTGCTTCTTTCCACTGAGGCTTCTGAGTCTGTCCAGCTGATTTCCTCCTTTGAAGTGTTTTCCCTTGACTCTGCCTTAACTTCTGAGGCAGTGGGCTTGGATGAGGGCTCTCTCCTGGGCCTTTTGTTTATGGTTTCCAGGGCTCAGGGGGGGGAGCCTGAGTGGAGTTCTTGTGTTCCATTAGAACCCGCTTGGGCCCTTGTGCCCTCTTCACAGTTCACAGGGGCTGCTTCTGCAGGGAAGGGAGTTTTCATACCCTCCTTTCTTTTGAGCTTGAATTGGTGGGGCTTCCCTGGGTGCGTTTCCGGGTGCATTTGGGTTCCTCGGATTAGTCTTTCTGGAGTTTTTTTTCCTCTCGGATTTCCCGTGTTGAGGTTCGGGAGGCTCTTGGCATGTACTCCCTGTGGGACTTGGTTTATGTCTCGGTGATGGATCTGGCTTCATTTGAGTTCGGTTCTTCTTCCCCATTTTGGGTGCGTTATGAGGTTCCGGAGTCTTCCTGGCTGGCAGACTGTCCTTTCTTTTCCCTTGGAGTTTGGTGTGGTTTTTGTCTTACCTGCACACCTGAGTGTCGGGAGGTTTCTACTGTGTTGCAGGTATTCTTAGGTGGCTGTCGTGAGTTTCTCAATGAGTGTCTCTTTGCTCCTGCGTTTCCTTGTGATGTTGGTCTGGTGCAGCTTCATGCTCAGGTTCCCACTCTTTCAGCTGCTTTGGTGGCCGGTGACCTTCAGACTTGTGGTCATTTGGCTTCTGTCTTGTGATTCTTTGATCTTCTGCCTCTGTCTTCGGGTTTGCTTTCAAAAAATGTGGGGTCACAGGGTGGGGGAGCCCTCGACTGGGGTCTTTGTCTCTTCTGCTTCGGCGTCAGAGGAATGCCAAAGCAATTTTAAACTAGCTTCTGCTTTACTGAAGCTGCTTGTGCCAATCCTCCCGTCGGCGATTTCCATGTTTGTCATCTCCCGTCTCGCGTGTCGGCAAGTCGTGCTCTCTCTTTCTCAGTGGATTCAGCTCGAGCCCTTGGCTCTTCAGTCGGCTTCACCATTTTGTTCCCGTTTGTTTCCTGATGACAGTGTTGTTAGGTTTTTATCAGCAGCTTCTGCTAGTTGCTGTCTCATTTCTGATTTGTTGGTTCACCAGGGGGAGGTGGGGGAGGTCTTTCTTGGCCCTCCTGGAAAGATTGGGCCAGGGCTCGGGCTGGGTGGGCCTGTGATGCCAGTTTCTGAGTCGGTGATGACTCCGGTGCCTTCTTCCTCGGTTGGCGCAGTGTTTGCTCTTCACGGAAGTCGGGCCTTCGGAGTTCGCATTGGCCCTTTCACAGGTCACCCCATTGACGGGGAGATGGGGCGATGGCCAGCCAACCCCAGGCTCTTTTTGCCCATACCTGGTCCCACAATTCGTGGGGTGTTGCGGGTAATTTCTTGCGACCTTCAGTGGTATTGGGCATGTGGGATAAAATACCTGGGATTGATTAAGATGTTATAAATTAAAAATTATGTAAATGCAAAATTGCTATTAGCATGCACTACAACAAAAATGAGGGCTTAGCTGTCATTTACATTCAACGCTTATTTTTTTTTAAAGTTTCCTGTGATCAGAGAACACATTTTAACAATACTGTATAAGAACAACAATTTGGGGGAATAATTTTTATTCTGCACACCACGGGATTGTCATATTTAATAGCATCACAGCAGAGTGGTTAATTACCGTCCAAAGCATATGGAATATGAACATTAAAACAAAAGTAAAGGAAACTGCAGAGTGCCTATTGACTCATCAAGGCTATTCTTATTTACATCCATCCAAGCTCATTCATATATATGTCCAATCTACTCTCAAAACAATCCAATCACATGTCCAGTATGATATCTGGTGCCCTGTAGTTAGTTTCTTCAGAACCCACATTTGAAAGCATTCTAACATTTGAAGAATGGCAGCTAAAAATGTTGGTAGGAGTTCCAAATAATAAACAAAGCATTAAAAGAGCATAAATAGATATAGACTGGTATAAAAGTTTTTTCATTATTACTCAACATGACCTGTGTCCTTTTATGAAGATAGAAACAACTTTTGTAAAATTGCCAGATCAGGAATATACTTTAAATAATATTGCCTTTGCCCTGCAGGTCACTCAAGCAATGCTGTCTGCTTTTCTTGGGCTACAGTACCAGTTCTCAGCTGTGGTTATTGAGCGTTTCACTGGCATCCTTCAGGCACTTCGTGAAGAAAGTCTTTGTGCTTCTCCTCAGAATTCAGCTGGATTTCAGATAAGCAAACCTTGTCATCCATCAATATCAAGTCATGTTGCTGACATTTCCCAACTTTCTGTATCTAGTCAGTATATTCCACAACTTCCAATTCAGCCAGCTTGGATTCCTGGTCAACAACAACAACAACAACAACAACAACAACAACAACAACAGCAGCAACAACAGCAACAACAAGTTGGTATGAAGGGTGTGCAAGGCGTGCCTGCAGCACCTCTACTGGAGAGCCCTGGGAAGGAAGATAAACCACGGAGTCGGCACCCTTCTGGTGGTCACTCTCGGCACTCAAATGCTGCTCCTGGCTGGTCCAACCCAAGCAGTAGTGTTGGTTGTCCGAATACCACAAATTATGGTTCTAATTCAAATTATGGCTCTAGTCTTAGCCTTAGTATAAACAGTGGCAATACCCTCTCTCCTGGTTCATGTTATGGACTGTTTTCACATTTAAATGGGGGTGGGTCTGGCTGGCAGAGCGATGCCATATCTCGGAGATGGTCGATGGGAGGGCCTAGTACAGAAGGATGGGAAAGAAACTCTAGTTTGGGGCCATTTAGTTTAATTGCAAATAGACGATGGTCAGTGCCGGAGGCCAGTGAACATGATGTGAGTTCTATGAGTGAAGCAGATTCCGTAACTGACTTTTATGGAAGTTGTAGCCTTCAAGGGGATTGGAATGGGACCATAGGTGGCAGCACATCTTGGGGCTCCAGAGCTGGACTACACGTACCTTCACGAGATAGTAGTGTAACAAGAAGCCCCAGTCACAGTCGCTCTGTTACTCCAGGTATGTTATGTTATGAGACATCTTTGTTGATATCAAGGAGGTAAGTTTTGGTGACTAAGTCTGGATCAGTTAAAAAATTTGTATTGAGAGATGATAGAGAAGTTAAGGATTTGAGATACAGTACAGCGGAACCTCGGTTTTTGTATGCCCGTTTTCGTATTTTTCGGGTTACGAACCCAGTTTCGTAGTAAAATTTGAATTGGGTTACGAGCTTGCCTTAAGTAACGTAGTTTGTTGATACGCATATGGGCGACCTAGCGTGTGGTTCCTGGTGGCACACTTCAGTTTACCAGTGGCTCCCGCTTAGTGACAATCGCATTTGAATTCTTTGTAAAGAATTTCACTTTTTCATTTTTGGGGGGTTTTTGAACATAAACATAATTATTAAATATCATGCCATGGGTCCCAAGAAAGTCAGTGGTAAGGTTCAACCTAAGAAAACACATATGAGGATGACCATAAAGCAAAAAAAGAGATCATTAGTGAACATGAAAATGGTACACAGGTTGTTGAACTAGCTAGACTGTACAACAAAAGTATGTCAACTATATGATCTGTAATTGCTAAGAAAAAAAGACATCTTGAGTGCTAAAGTGGCAAAAGGCATAACAATCACGAAACAAAGAACTTAAGGAGGTTAAAGAGGTAGGAAAGTTATTATTAATTTGGATAAACAACAAGCAGTTAGCAGGTGATAGCATTTCAGAGGCCATCATTTGTGAAAAAGCAATAGCCTTCATGCAAGGTTATTGCATAAAGATCTTATAAAAAATACCCCTGGAATGAGTGACGCAGATACGAAAGAGTTTAAAGCGAGCAAGGGATAATTCAAGAAATTTAAAAAGAGAAGTGGCATTCATAGTGTTGTGAGGCATGGTGAAGGTGCCAGTTCAGATAAACCAGCGGCTAAAAGATTTGTTCGCGATTTTAAAGTTTTTGTAGATAGTGAAGGATACATACCACAACAAGTGTTTAATTGTGACGAGACAGGGCTATTCTGAAAAAAATTGCTGAAGAGGACATACATTACCCAAGAGGAGACGTCGTTGCCCAGACACAAGCCTATGAAAGATTGGCTAACTCTTGTGCTGTGTGGTAATGCGAGTGGCAATTTGAAAATTAAACCCTTGCTTGTTTATCATTCCGAAAATCCAAGGATTTTTTTAAAATATAGTGTGTGCAGAAAAACAAACTATGTGTGATGTGGAGGGCTAATAGGAAGGGCATGGGGTGACAAGGCAATTTTCTGTGGAGAGCCCCTTCGGCTCCCCGGAGCTATACTGGGCTGATGTGTTTATATTAGACCGTGGCAATAGTCAATCGAAGGAGTTCTAGGCCTACCAGGGACCAGAGCCAAAACCTGGCCCCCTCAAGAGAGGCACGAGGAGCAATGGCCTAAAAGGGACTATCTTGAGATTATCTTGAGTTGATTTCGGGGCTTTAGTGTCCCCGCGGCCCGGTCCTCGACCAGGCCTCCACCCCCAGGAAGCAGCCCGTGACAGCTGACTAACACCCAGGTACCTATTTACTGCTAGGTAACAGGGGCATTCAGGGTGAAAGAAACTTTGCCCATTTGTTTCTGCCTCGTGCGGGAATCGAACCCGCGCCACAGAATTACGAGTCCTGCGCGCTATCCACCAGGCTACGTGGCCCCGTGGACGTACAGTATTACGCTTTTTTAAATGTTGTTTAATGTCGACCAAACTTTTTTTACTAGTTGTATATAAGAAGGGCTGCAACTGTTCTCAGTTTCAGTATCGTACCCTAAATAGAAAGGGAGTTATTGTTTTTTTTTGTTTTTGTTCAATGAATTTTACACATTTTCATTAATCTTCAACAACTACAAGTTTCAAATGAAATCATTTCTATGACTCTCATCTATTACATTAGCATATAATAAAGAATTTGTATTGAAAGGATTATCCAAAATATATTCAGTTTTGCTAATACAAGTAGTCAAAAGTTCCTCCAAAAATATGTCAATATTTCATGTTTGAAAATTATGTATAAAATCAATAAATGAACTTAGGAAAAAGTATTTAATATAGTCTGTAGAGACAAAAACTCTACATATGTGGTGTAAATTTTATGTAAATTGAAAGAAAAAATGAAAGAGGTGAAGTAAATTTATGTTATAAATAAGATCAAAGATTCTGCCACCTGTGGTTAAAGTTGACTTCAACCAATTTCCTCCAAAATTTGCATCCTTACAGATAGGCTTACGTTCTGTAAGATGTACAAGTTTCATGCAAGTCAACTGATAAAAAATAAGTGAAAAAAATGGAGATTTTTTTTTTTTTTTTTAATTTTTTTTGGCATAAAACTAAATATTAAAATACTTTATTATATGCTATTGTGATAGATTAGAGTCATAGACATGATTTCAATTGACACTTTTGTTTGATGTTAATTTTTTATTATTTTGGAAAACTTTTGACACACAATTCAATATTTTTTTCTCCCTTCCTATTTATGCTACGATGCTGAGACTTCGACCAGTTGAACCCAATTTTATATACAACTAGTCAAAAAAGTTTGATTGAAATCGAACCAGTTTTCATTTATAGCATATTTTCGTAATATGCCCCCTAAAGGCACCCCCCTGGAATTGGAAGCAGTCTTTGTCTGCCATCTACCAGGTCAGGCACCCAGAAGGGTTGGAATTCCAAAACAAACTACTGATGATCAAAGATTTGCAAACCGAAAGCCAAATTAGCAACAGAACTCCCCAATCAAAACCAAGGAAACAAGTATGACGTCACCACAAATGCCGCGCATCTGTCTGCGCACCCCCCCCCTCCCCGGGAGGGAAACAGAGGGTCCCAGAGCTCCACGCCGGCAACTTTCCTCAGTTCACAGGCTGTTGTGAGGGCGAACGGTTGATCGACTCTGGCTCCATCCTTTGAGCAGTGCTGCAGTGTGGTGGTGGTGTTCAGTTTTGGTATCGTGCGAGCCAAGAAGTAACACAAGAGTACTGGGGCTGCATGAACCTAGGGCCACATTCCCTAGGTGCCCTGTAAGTACTGCCCTTGCATCTTTAGGGTTATCTTCCCTGAGCCGTTCGGGAACTACCTCTGCATGGTTCTGTTGCTGCTGGTGATTGCCTGCCCTTGGGGGTTCAGCTGGGGTGGTTCTTACTCCTGTTTGCCCTTTTGTAGGAGGTATTTTGTCACTGGCTGGGGTGTGAGGTACCTTGAGGAGCTTCCGGGGCTTAGCGTCCCTGCGGCCCGGTCGTCGACCAGGCCTCCTAAGGTACTGTGCAGCTGTCTGATATACCCTTAGCGACCGGTTCTGTTCACCTGGAGGCGTTGTGCTTTTGCAGGTTTTTCTTTTGTTTTTGTTTTGTTTTGCCTGGCGGGGGTTTGCCTGGTGTGGTGGTAGGACCACTTGTATGATTTTGGTGGCCCTCCACTGGGTCCCCGTGCTTGCACACATCGCTGGGGGTTAAGCTTATAGTTTGTTTGCTTGTAGCTCTGGGATAACCGGTTAGCAGTACATTACCTGGACTTCCTTTAGCAGTCAGCCTAAGGACTTTGGAAACCTCCATTGGGGCTCAGTGGTCCAATGGAAGAAACCTCAGAGTCCCACCTCACCTTGTGTAAGTTTGAAGGTTGCTCTGTCCCCTTGACTCAGGGTGATACTCACCGTCTTTGCCTCCGCCATGCTGCTTGTTGGGTCAATGACACCTTTGACCCGGAGTCCTGCGAGTGGTGTTCCTTGCTCGTACTCCAATTCACCCAGTCCAATGAGATTGATATTCGGGTGCAAGCAGCTTCGACGTTGCATGCACGGTTTAGGTTGCTGCAATGCGCAAGGTTGATTGCCTTTCCGGATGCCCTGCAGTTGTCCCGCTTTGGTTATAGAAACCTGGACTTGGGGGTGTTAGTCGCCTCGACTTTGGTTTCATCTGCATCCCCTAATCCTTTCTCTGGTGTGGTTCATCCTGCTCCCCCCCCCCCTGCTCCTGGCTCCCAAACATCTGAGGGTTTCGGAGTCAGGGCAGGGTTTGCCTGGCGATGAGTCTCGGGCGGCTTCGGGGATTGCCCCTTCTGGAACGGCGGCGGAGGCATTCTAGCCTGTTCCTCCTGCTGGAGCCCTTGGGCCGTATCAGCGGGCCCCTGTTCATCCCGGCTTTTCCGGCGGGATGAAGACTTTGAAGAGGACTTTGCTTTTTCTCCAGACTCGAGTCTGACATGGAGGTTCCCGGGGCTGGGAAGGAGTTGACTTGGGGGGCTTGGGCCCCATTTGACCCCGCTTGGGTGTTGGTACCCTCGGCGCAGAGCTTGTTGTTACAGGGGAAGGGGTTTTCCTATCCCCCCTCCCTGTATGAGTTTGATATGGGTGTGACTCCTCCCTGGGTTCGGTTCCAGGTTTCCTTGGGTTATTCGGTTCTCTCGGGTTCTTCGGTTCCCTCCTTGCAGAGGTTTTCAGCTTCCCGCATCCCACCGAGGAAGGTGTGGGAAGCCCCTTGCGGCTTACCTCCTGTGAGACCCAGATTACGCCTTGATATTGAAGCCTTCTTCTTTTTGAGTTTGGCTCCTCTTTTCCTTATGGGGTGTGTTACAAGGTGCTAGAGTCTTCCTGGCTGGCAGACTGCTTTTTCTTTGTGGGGGCTTGGCATTCGTCCTGTCGAAATGCGCATTTGAATGGCGAGAGTTGCCTACAGTCGTTCAGGTTTTTGTGAGGGGAGGGGTTTGAGTTGAAGCACCTCAAGGTGTGCTTGTTCGCCCCCATCCTTCCTTATGATGTCGGCCAGTTGCGGCTTCACGTGCAGGTTCCCTCCCTTTCGGCATCCCTGGTGGCCGAGGATTTGTGCGCCCGTGAGCACTTGGCTTCGGTCTTGTGCTTCTTTTCCCTGCTGGAGCTGTCTCCGAACTGGCTCCTGCTGGGTGTGGAGCTGGGTTCCGGGCCAGGGTCCGGTGGGCTTGCTTCGGCAGCTCGGGTGCCGGCTGCATTGGTGAAGTTGTATGCGCCGTTTCTGAGGGAGGCGGTGTCTGTTC